CGAATACTACTGCTGCTAATGCTTTATCTAACACTATCTTCCAGAAAAATTGCATTTTGAAAATAAGCAGCAACTCCTTACCCAACGCACGTTTAGGATCTTGGGGTGGATTTGAAGCTTCACGCTGTTTGATGTACTCGTGAATTTCACGAAGTCGTGCTTCGTGATCATTGTTAGTGCACACGCTGACAAGCAGGAGATCCTGACCGGCCAGTTTGCAAACAATTGTCATCAATTCCATGGAATTTGAGAGGCGATACCTGTACTTGCGATCTTCGATTGTGTATTCATCAAAGTGGTAAATGTCGTAATTTTCGATATTGATACGATGACATTTATCAGAAAAGACATCCTGCATGGTATCCGGCTTAATTTCACCTCCAATTAGAGACATTTTGATCTGAAAAATAAACAACTTTAAAAGACACAAAAATATAGGGCTCCCATAAAAAGAAGAAAGAAAAATCTCTATAGACCTTTAAAAAATCGCATTCAGAAATAAAATTCCGAATCCTATCACTCTATAATAACAAAACCCTTAAGCTAAGGAATAAAATAAAGACGAAACATTGTAAAAATTCCATAAAGGATAATAGATACTACATTTTAAAAAGGTTCAGTAAACCCTTGGCTAATTATATTAATGAAATTCTATTTTAGCTTCTTGATTACAAACATTACCAGGCGATCAGCATCAAAAGACAAAATGAGTCTAAGCATAGCTAAAAGTGATGCCTATGAAATGATATTTATTTAAAAAATGATATCTCAGTTATTTTTTAATGAAGGAACATAAAATACTGAATGTAAGGCAAACTGGTGTACATAGAAGAGTTTCGCAATAAACATTAATAAGAAAAACGGTAAAGCTAATAAACAAATAATAAAGTCTGACCAAAAATTCGAAATAGCAACTACGAGGACTTACTACAAGGAGAGAAAGGACTAAATTTAATGTAGGCCGTAAATGGATGCTAATTTTAACAAAGTAAATGACCTAAATTGCGTAAATACATATTAAAAAATAAGCAAATTTATTTAAAATTATAATTAGTTATTTTTATTATTCATACGAAATATACAGTTAAAAGTATTTTTTTTGACTAGAATTGAAATGATGTATTTATATATTATTTTTAACTAGCAGGCAGTTTGATAGTTATCATTAGCACTTTAATTGACTTATGACTTCATGGTGGGGAGGAACAGACAAAATGGAAGATAAATTCGAGATGGGGGGGCAGAAGATTGTTTCAAAGATGTAAGAGACAGACGGAAAGGTAGAAAAAAAGTTGAGGAGAGTACTGTAGAAGTAGTCGAATATGACATACTGTGGGGGTCATGGCTGCTTGCAGTCAGAAGTCAACTGCCAGTTAATAGACTTTTTTGCCGTATGAATATACGTTGCCCAGGGTGCGCCACGTGGAGGTAAGTCTATTGCGCACCCCTATTTTTTTATACCCAATGCAGCTATTTGGGTATAAACGCTAGTGAAATCAAAGTATTTAAAGAAATGGATCAAGTTGAGTGAGAGTATCATTACCTAAATTAAATTTTCAGGCTCTTTATTCATTTTCGGTTAGAATTCCTACACATCAAATTTAGAGATTTAAAATGGGATGTTGATGAAAGTGCCCACATTTTCGGCAGTAAGCTTCATCACTTTTATTGTTAATATTATTAATACATTAAATATTAGAGTGCATGATTATATATGTGAATATGAGTGAATGAAGCTTCTCAGCATTTTCTTTGAGCTCTTAAATGTATTGTTTTTTTGCAATTTTCGATTAGGAGTATGTCACTTTTGTCCAAAGTTAAATTTCCACGAATTGATCTGGCCGATCGTAATACTTTGATCAATTTTTAACATTCAGTTTTATTTATGCCAGCTAGATATGACAAGCAAGGGCATTTTGAATACGACAGAAGTCATTTTGGTGTTCCAAAAATTGAATTATATGCTTATTTCCTTGTGTACCATATTGCTCATTTTCTGATAAATCGATTAGACATATGACAAAATTTTCTCACGTTTATTGCAATGCAAAAAGTGAACAATTAGGTGGCTGAATAAGGTAAATACTGATAATTGCAAAAGGATATTCGGGGGTGCCAAATTAGGCCTTCTTATCGATATAATTTCAAATGTTTACTAGTAAGTATTAACGAACTGTTTTACGAAGATAGACATATGCGTACAAACATTTGGTGAAAGAATTTTCTACTCTTCTTCAAACTAAGTATTAATTGAATTTAACTACCTTGAATCGAAAAAAATCTTTAGAATAAAATACCCTTCTCTCTCACTAATCGATCTCGAAATATCCTCGTTTCATTTTCATCTAACTCAATGAATGCAATATTTATATTTGTACAGGTAAATTACCACTATTATTAGTATTGAATGAATGTTAAAGCCTGAATTTGTTTCCCTCACTCAAGTGCAAGAATATCACGTGACCTTCTTCAACTCAGCTATTCAGGGAGCTGGAACTACGTCGGACATCTTTTTGAAACTCTACGGTAGAGATGAAGTTGACCGAGAATGGTGGTTCAATAATCTCCAACGTCAGCTCAGAGTCGATGGGGCTACTATTCAGTTCAAACTTCGAACACAAAAGAGGTTGGGTGATCTCAGTAAGATCCAAGTTGGCCTTAAAGCAAAGGGTAGTTCACCTGATTGGCTACTTGACAAGGTGAGCGTCAATTTTACGTAGCCATCACTCATGCACTTATTTGCTGGGGAATCTCATGACCACCCCGTTTATTGCAAGCGTAGGATAGTCAGCTTTGACTGACATAAGGGATGGGTGTTGTTGTAAAAGCAGAATTATGGAGCAGGAAGGTATTGATTTGCTTATTGAAGCTGTGTTATATGATGACCTAATCACTTGTTTATGCGCGTATGAAAATTCGATGTAATTGGCTTAATTAAACTTCATCCTATCTTTCAGTAGCATTCAAAAGTCTGCATATCTCCAATTAAAGTTCACTCTATGACTTCGAATTAAAAAAATTGACTATGATACGATAACGTTCCTTATGGCTAAGCTTGGAATACTTTTTATGGACTCAATTTTCAAATCTAATTATCAGCTAACTAAATGAAAGTTGATTGTTCCACAAAATCACCATTGTGTGTGCAAATTAGTGGCAGATATTGTGACAATGGGTATTTAAAACTAGCCAATTATCGTGTTTAAGATGGTTCCGACTAATAATTAAGAAATTAAGATACCAATACCATTTTATTGTGAGCAAAACCTCAGATTTTTCAAAATTTCGTAATTGGCCAATTAAACCTTTTCTAAGTCG